TGCGTACTCTCGAAACGAGGGAAGTTTCTTACTGCCAAAATGGTAATCTTGTACAGACAAAATAGCACTTGTTGGACGCTATCTTTTTACACAATAAGCTCAGTGAGCGCGGTATAGTCTTGAAGGAGTTTCCACAAACAGTATTTTTACGTAAAACGTATGCGATCGCCGATAGTGAGCTTTGAGATGTATGTCCTCATAGTAGGCTGACTGTATAACGATACAGAACATAGTAGATTGAAGCCTAGCTCAATTCAGGAATATCACGTGTTGCAGCGACCACAGCTGCACGTCTGCGCGAATATTTCGCTTTCAAGGCGAGCGCATTTTCGCGCCGGGTCGTGAGCTTTTAGGCCACTGCGTATGAAAATTTGATGGACACACAAGCAAACATAGTTGCACGATATCACAGCTGGACTCGTTCTTGAGGCTTCAACAAACAACGACTTGCGCTCTGAACGTGGGCACTGAACACGAGCCCCACAAAACCACAGCAAAAGAAATGATAGTCAGCAACTAAACTGCAGCTGCAAAGCCTACTATAGAGACAAGGTGTAAAGACCAAAGTGCGAATATTTAATGCTCAGCATTTCCATTCTCTGCCGAGGACCTCAGCGATTGTGCTAAAATGTCTTGTCTGTAATGAAAATAAGAATATTATTATAATTCTTGAGGTTTAACGTCCCAAAACCACCATATGATTATGACAGACGCCGCAGTGGAGGGCTCCGGCAATTTCGACCACCTCGTTTTTTTTTTTATCGTGCACCTAAATCTAAGCGCAAGGGCCTAAAGTATTTGTAACGAGAAAAAAAAACGTGGCACATTTTTCATAGGAATACATGTATGGCTCCGCAGAGTGCGTGGGTTGGGCTGGGCCGCTTTGAATTTGCGGGTGGGTCAATATAAATTTAGGGGTAATATGGAGGTGGGCGATACATGAGGGGTGGGCCCGCCTGCAGGTGGCGTGAGTAGCTATCCAAACACTTTCTCTCGAATCGTCAAATATATTGGAAATTCCAACCACCTGGGGTTCTTTAACGTGCACCCAAATCTGAGCACACGGGCCTACAACATTTCCGCCTCCATCAGAAAGGCAGCCGCCGCAGCCGGGATTCGATCCCACGACCTGCGGGTCAGCAGCTGAGTACCTTAGCCACTAGACCACCGCGGCGAGGCCAGTTTGTCAATCTAAACCAAGTCATTGTTTCTCTTAGAGTCCCTTAAACTTCTCAATGGAACACCGAGAGCATGAAAAGCGCCAAGCAAACAGCATAGGTTTTTATATCCAACGCGAAGATTTTTGCATTACGCGCACCCTTCCACAGAAAGAGACCACTACGGTGAGAAATTGAGACCGTGATATCTTGCTAAGCATCACAACGCCATAGTTAAGTGACACGACAGAAAAATGCTTATCCTATTTTTTTCTGAATAAGTATTTTTTTAACTATTCTCAACAAAATATTGATTGCTGAAAGTGAGCCTGAAGGCTAAACTTGTACTACTTGAATTACATAAAGGAACTATAAGGTACTCGGCTGCCGACCCGCAGGTCACGGGATCTAATCCTGGCTTCAGCGGTTGCATTTCCGATGGAGGCGGAAATGTTGTATAGGCTCGTGTGCTCAGATTTGGGTGCACGTTAAAGAACACCAGGTGGTCTAATTGTCTGGAGTCCTCCAATGTACGGCGTCTCTCATAATCATATGGTGGTTTTGTGACGTTAAACTTCACATGTCAGTCAATTCACATTAAAAAATGCCACCACCGGTACATTAATTAAAGCGACGCTATGTATGATAACGTTCTTCCTCGTATTCGGGCTGTTTGGAAAAGTAATAATTCTCATTTTTCTTTTGAAATTCAGCATCTTGTTTTTTATATCTGGGACATTAAGCGATATTATTATTATTATTATTACACCTTTTAGAACACAATGCATGTCATCTATATAGAGATAAACTCTGTGTCTGCTGGCAGCAACGGATACAATGCTCGGTGCAACTCCAGGAATTCTTCACTGCAAGGGTTGTCACACGGCTTTATATCACGAGGCAAACGACGTGCAAGATGGTTGTAACAGCCCATCGGGCCAATGCTGACGAAAGTCACTGGCCCAGATCCCTTTCCAAAAGTAAATAATGCAGAGATCGTGAACATGACATGCACACTTAGTTCATTTCGATTTCCAAACCCAGCTCGACTCACATCTAACTTCACAGTGACACTCCTGACCAGCCGAACTGTGAACGCGACATGAGCTAATGCGGCATCTCGGAGGCTCTTCGCAGTTATTCCTGATGCGCTGATTCCCTGTCTCGAAACGACGAGCTCTAATCCCGACTGAAGTCCTCAGCTTCGGGCATTTCTTCGCGTTTGATCCAGTGTGAAGACAACCTGCGACGACGTCTGACAGAAATCTCTAGCCACAGAGAAGAGAGCAACATCTTCACCAGAAAAAGCGCAACAGGCGGCTCCACTCTGGAACCATTCCCTATATAGTGTGTGTCTCAATTGATCGGTACGTTGCGTAATTTGCTTGCTGCTGTGTCACCTGGCAAAGGTAAAGACACACACGCACGCACAACCAAACAAACGAAGGAAATGTTGGGTCGAAGATAACCGAACGAAGGAGCTGTGAATGCGACAGCGCGATAGTGACGTGTATTAATCGCCTGCATTCAGCGCAAAACGCTCTTTTGCGGCCACGGTCTTACGAAAAATGCGTAACGCAGAGTCACCGAGCATGCGCACTCTATCGCAAGCTTCTTCCAATGACGGGCGATAATTGATTGATTTGTGGGGTTTAACGTCCCAAAACCACTATATGATTATGAGAGACGCCGTAGTGGAGTGCTTCGGAAATTTCGACCACCCGGGGTTCTTTAACGTGCACCCAAATCTGAGTACACGGGCCTACAACATTTCCGCCTCCATCGGAAATGCAGCCGCCACAGCCGGAATTTGATCCCACGACCTGCGGGTCAGCAGCCGAGTACCTTAGCCACTAGACCACCGTGGCGGGGCAATGACGGGCGATATACAGGCAGAAAAGAGTGTGGACTGCGGCCCAACTTAGCGCGTGCTTGCACCCCGTCGACGCTCTGCCAGCGTTCGCGCAGTGTGCTTCGCCGCGCGGGCAGCTGCTCTCAGGGGACGCAGATGGCCACGGCGGCCGAACCCCGCGGGGCGCGAAGCAACGGCAGCGCAAGCACGGGTCTCGGCAACGCGTCGCCGGGGCAACCGAGACATGGCTGTGGCAGCCCGGAGCTCGATCTTTGATAGGCGGCCTTCGCGCCCGTATGACCCCATGCAGTCACCCCCCTCGTTCCCGCTTTTTCATCACGAGGCATGAGCGCGTGATGCGAACACCCTACAGGCGGATCAAAGTTTTCAGTCATTTCCTTTCCTGCTTTTTTTTTATTTTGTGAATATCTCTCCCAACCAATATTCGTGCCGGACACGCGAATCCACTGCCGAATTTTCCCAGACATTTTCACAAAGCGCCATGTCCCACGTGAAGATTGCTTCAGCTAATAAAAATAATAATAACATCTGGGGTTTAACGTCCTGAAACCACGATATATGATCATAAGATACGTCTCTATGGAGGGCTGGGGAAATTTCTACCACCTGGGGTTATTTAACGTGCACCTAAATAAAAATGCACGGGCCTCGAACATTTCCGCTTCCATCGAAAATGCCGCTGCCGCAGCCGGGATTCGATCCCGCGACCTTCAGGCTATAGCAGACGAGCGCCATAACCACTATAGACCACCGCGGCGGGGCGATTGCTTCAGCTACTACAGAGGACAGTGCATGCAGTGCCCGCGGCATAGCACAACGTGTGATTAGTAACTTGAAGTGTGATGACACCCGCGGATACGTGATGCTGGCGAACCTACGCAGATTTCTATTTTACGCGCGGAGCACATCGAGGGCCCGGCTTGTCCGCCACAAACTCGTTGCGTATATGGCTATGCAGGGGTCAATACTAAAAAAAACTATTGAGAAACGAAAGAGACGCCACACACCATCGATGATGGCTTTCGATAGACTGGTGTTTATTGCAATGAGAAAGACAGTGGTAAGAGTTTCAGATTACATGGTTGCCAGAGGACAATTGAAATCAAGCTGGTAGATTTTACATACCCCCCCCCCCCCCCTCCAATGAGCCTTAGCTCATTCACGCAAAGATTCCAGAGTATACAAAAGTTGTACTGGTCTTCGGATCACAGTCCTACTTGGTAGGCGCACAATACAGGCCCTGATCCGCCCATCACGTCCGATTAACACCTTGTCGACCACTCCCATTTTCTATAGTTGTCGCGGAGATAGATGCTCGTAGACAAACACCACCGTGCCCTCTTGGATGGCGTTCGACGAGGTCGGTATGTAGAAATGTGCGCTACGCAGACTGTTCAGGTATTCTTTCTGCCATCTTCGCCAGAAATGATCTGTCATTCTTTGTCGGTACTTCCAACTTCTTTCAAGAATTTTAGGCTGTGACGTAGCGTCTTCGCACGTCGATGTGGACAACTACGTCAGGCGCTTGCCAACAAAAAAATGAGGAGCGAGAGGTTCCAATTCAGTGGCCTCTGCAGAAACATATGTCAGAGGCCTAGAATTGACGACTGCTTCAACCTCAGTGAGGATTCTCGCAAGTTCCTCGAATGTGCAGTAGCTGTTTCCCAAAACTTTTTTGAGGGAGGCCTTCACAGATGGTTTCACTGCGTGGCCAATCAGTAGAAGGCTGGGAGGGCCATTAAGGTCCATGCCACCAAAGCGTATACATATATATAGTTGATTTGAGCACTTCCGGCGAAACTCCTCGTGTTAGGAGGAGTTTCGCCGGCAAGGTGATCGCCTTCTTTATCCCACACAAGTCCTAACACATGCGCAGTACTGCTTGTGGGGCACTGCACTGTGTTCGTGGGACATCCAGTTTCTTCATTATGAAATATCTCTTGCAAAGTTTTGGAATTTCAGTTCCACTTTCAAAGGGACATGCTTGCCCCTTTCATTTTGCCCAGCGCTTCTCGATACAATTCTTCAGCTGCTTCTTCCGTGTCGGCACCTGTGATGAGGTCGTCGACGTAGAAGCTCTCAGCCAGTGTTCGTGCTGTGCCCGAACAGCTGTCCATCATGCCGAGATGGTGACGTATCGTGGCAGCAAGCAGAAATGGGCTACTGGTCACTCCGAATGGGACTCTTGTCGTACTCCAGGCTTCAAGTGGCGGACTCGGTTTTTTCTTAGTGGGTACTTCTTCATACCAGGGGAAGCGCACGGCATCTCTACCTTCCTTTCTCAGTGATATTTGTAAAAACGCCTTTCCGATATCTGCACTGAGCCCGATGCGGTGCGTTCTGAAATTGAGCATGATTTTTAAGATATCGGGGTTTAAGTTCGGTCCTGAATCCAACACTTCATTCAGTGACACGCACCCGGTTTCACTCGACGACGCATCAAAGACCACTCTGAGGCTAGTTGACGGGCTTGCAGGGCACAACACAGCTTGGTGAGGCATGTAATACAATCTGTTCTCTATGCCTACTACGTTCTTCGGAAGCCGCTCGGCAAATCCTTGCTCAAGGTACTGGCGTATGGCCTCGTCGTACTTCATCCGAATTGCCTCATCTTTCAAGAATTTCATTGTGATGCTGGCCAAACGTTTCTTTGCAACTCCCTCGTTGTCAGCAAGATGAAAATTCATGGGCCTCCAAGGAAGAGCCACTTCGTATCTTCCATTGGTGAACTTAAAGGGGTGGTGCCACCAAATTTCGAGGCTATACCAAGCTTGTTGTGGATTTCCTCTGTATACAAGGACTCTCCACACAAAGGGTCGGACCCTACAAACACGTACAATATATTTTAATTCACTTCTAAAAGTGTAGCTTAATGCTCACTCTCCCGATCTAGGCCCATCGCTTGCGCAGCAGCACTGACGTTTCAGAATAGGAGAAGCAACGGCAGTTGTCGTGACGTCATACCAGGTCTTTACTGACGTGAGTGACCTCCCCCATCTCCGAAACGAGCGTACCCAACGTACCAGCAATGCATCGGTTGCTGTATTACTCGCAGAGTTTCGATCGCTTCTTGATCCCGGCTGCGGCGGCTGCATTTCCGATGGAGACGGAAATGTTGTAGGCCCGTGTGCTCAGATTTGGGTGCACGTTAAAGAACCCCAGGTGGTCTAAATTTCCGGAGCCCTCCACCACGGCGTCTCTCATAATCATATAGTGGTTTTGGGACGTTAAACCCCACATATCAATCAATCGATCGCTTCTTGGCTAAGTGCTACGCATCGAAACCCGCTAAGGCGTTCTGTTTTGATGGCGCTTGTGTGGCACCTGTGTGTGAGAGCAGACGAAATTCAGCGCGATTCGCGTCACAGCCTTGAGTGATCACGTGGCCAAGCCACCTATGTATCGACGTCACTGCCCAACTCGGCGCCGCGAAACTGAAACCGAAAATGGTCCACATAAGTAGAGCAATATTGAAATATTTAGCGGAAATACACGAATCTTGGTGCGTGCATCATGCTTCTTGGAGCTGAAGGAAACACTTACAGCAAAGAATACGCATGCCACAAATTTGGTGGCACCACCCCTAATGGAGGACTCGAAAGCCTTATGTACTTCTTCCTGCTCCTGATTATGTGAAACTAGGTCCACAACACCCATGCTTTCGAGCTCCCAGAAAGGTTTGAGCTGAGTCGTCATTGCAAATTTGTTTTCCGCTACAACAGCTCGAAGGACCGCTATCGTTACACTGGTATTGCTGTACGGCACTCTTCCCTGCAGTGTCTACCCGAAGTGCGTATTAATTGCAACTAGGCCCCCCTGAAGCTAGTGCACTTCGCCCGTCACTAGACTCCAATAGTAGTCAGCGCCAATCAATATATCAATGTCATTTTGCTCTAATTTTGCGGGTGGCAAGGTAACATCAGCTAGACCAACCACTTTCATTTTGACCTCTTTTATCACTTTCTCGGGGACAAGAAGCTCGTCCGAACAGATTTCAGGTATCTCCAAGGCCTAGAGGCAGTGCTTCTTTCTGTCATACTGACTCCTCAACCGAAGCCGTACTCGCCTGCGCATTTTCTTTATGGCACTGTCTGCTCCTCCAACGGGAAATATGGTAATGCCTTCCTCACCAAGTACTTCCAAATTTAGCTGACGTGACAGTTCTTCTGTCACAAATGTTCTCTGACTTCCACCATCAAATAGTGCACGGGTGAGCAGTCTTCGCCCATATCTTAGCTGTCTGAAGCAGTACAGTTGTCGTTAGGTCATCTTTGCTACCTGTCCCAGAGTGCAATTCGGTTGCTGTGTTAGCAGCAGGCTTCCACGCAGGATTGCACATTTGAGTAAGGTGCCTCTTACTACATATTTTACACTTTACTCCTTTGTTGCGACATTCTCGGGATGTGCGCCCTTTAATAAAACAGCGGAAACATCGGCCAGCTTTGAGGAGTGCCCCTTTTATTTCTTCGAGTGAAAGTGGCATCTGGCATTCCTTCGTCACATGGTCCCTAGCTGCACAAAACGCACAAGGCTCTTTCTGTTTGAATTCACTAGCCGTTAGAAGTGAAGCTGCTGACGCCCTAGAAGCTCGGGACCTTTCTTTATCAAAACGTGGTTTTGTACTACTTCCTTTGCCTTCTCTCTGCCCAACCTGCAGCGCTTTTTCGGTTCTACACCTCGTTTTTGAGAAAACACTGCAAACTCGTAATGCACAAGCTATTCTCTTTTATCTCTGCAGAGCAATGTTTGTGATATTCTACCACTAGTTCACCTGGCAGCATTCGCAGAAGAGCGGAGGCGAGCATTGCTCCGTAGCTGTCGGTCTGGATTACAAGAGTCGTGAGAGCGGCTATATTTCGCTGCATGTGGTCATAGAGGAGACGTAGATCTCTTACCTCGTGCACACTTCGTACAGTTGGCAGGTCCAGCATCTGCGTAAGATGCTCTTGAATGAGCACATCCGTGCGTCCGAAACGCTCCTTCAAAAGCTCGATGACCGTGTGATAGTTGGCTGCGGTCGCTTGTATACCAGCCACCGCCACTGCTGCCCTCCCAGAAAGCGCCGAGTGCAAATACAAAAACTCTCCGTCAGAAAGAGCGCCGTTGTCGTGTATGGCTTGCTGGTACTGCTCCCAGAAAGGCTGCCACTCCGTGGCGGCGCCGCTAAATCGCCGCAGCTCGAGTTTCGGCAACTTCACCTTTGAGCCGTTGGCTCTCAGGTTCCCGTCGCTGGGAGGCCGAGACGCCACCGCTGCTGTAATGGCGTTCGCTCGTTGAGCTCCGGCTTGTTGGTTGAGCATTGCGCCGCAGGCTACTATTCTGTCATTGTACGCGATTGTACGTGCGTAGTTCTCGTCGACTTCTTCGTCTGGCACAAGTGGCTCGATAGCAGCGTCCACCTCGTTCAGCTGTGTTAGGAGGGCGCCGAGTCTTGCTGACAGCACGTTTAGTGTCGCTTCGTCTGCGTGTGCTTCTAGTGATGAATCTGCTTTGGATATCAACTTCGTCGCTTGGCTTCTCAGAGCGCTTCGTTTTTTCTTAAGTCGCTCTATCGTACCTTCTTTGTTGCGTTGCTTTCAGCAGCGTGGGTGTGGCGTCGTTAGGCCTCGTTGTTAGAACCGTGAAGTCCAAGGCGGTTGCACTTCCAAGGATCGTTGAGTGAACGGTAAAGTCCGTCGGAACGCCGACGCCTGATGGCCTCTTTGTAATGCTGAACTGATGGTAGCTTCAGCTCCCGGGTTCCGGCACCAAAAATAAAAAAAACTATTGAGAAACGAAAGAGACGTGACACACCATCGATGATGGCTTTCGATAGACTGGCGTTTATTGCGATGAGAAAGACAGTGGAAAGAGTTTCCGGTTACATGGTTGCCAGAGGACTATTGAAAACAAGCTGATAGAAGATTTTACAAATACAGGCCTAAAACAAGACTGACAATGCTCAAAACAGGGTAAAATAGACTAATAACGTCCAAAATAGTATAAACAACAGAAGTATATAGGATTCCATCGCAATATTTCACCTAAAATCACGAAAGTTCTTCCAAAGCATACGGCTGATATATACTATATATGTAGCACCGCGCAAGAGACGTGTTACCACCTCGGCAAGCTCGTGATTTTCAAGAGAATCCCAGGGTCCCCCGTGCTATCCGCTTCCTTGGGTTTCACGGCAGTGAATCTGCTTTACACCAAGATCGACACAAGAACTAATAAACATTGTCGGGATTCAACATCCACAATCCACAATATGATCACATGAGATACATCTTAGTGAAGGGCTGAAGAAATTTCGACCAGCTTAGGTTTTTTAAGGTGCCTCGAACGTTTCCGCCTCCATCGGACATGCGGCTGTCGCCACCGGGATTCGATACCACGACCTTAGGGTGCGCACTCGGGTGCTTTAACCACTATAGAGCAGCGCCATGGCGGGTTACACAAGAGCTACTTTAGCACTATAACATTAACGGCAGAATTTCATCTAGGCTTGCGCACTATGAGGAACCAAAACCACCACATTTCAGTGCAGGGCTTATTAAAAAATATTCGCCCCGAGATCGGGCTATAGGGGGCAGCACCGTCACCATGCTAGTGTGGATAGGCGGTCGACGGTGTGCTTTCTGAGCGCTGTGAGATGATTGTCGGCGAACAAAATGTGTTGACTGCTGCCTACTGGTAAAATGTATGCCGTCCGTTGCTTAACGAATGCACGAAGCTCACCGAACGATACTATTACTTGCGACAGAAAGGCAGTCTGCCATTAAATGGGATGTTCGCGCTGGACGACTGTCTGCGCTTTCGCACTGCAGAGTGTCACGTTTCTTGTATTTTTATTTTAGGTGTTGAGCTTGTGTCTCGTCTACTATGCACTGCTGTAGCATGACTGAATTCATTCTTCATGCACGCTGGTCACAATTACCAATCCCCTCAACCCCCCCCCCCCCAAAAAAAAGGAAGAAATCCGATATTTTTGGGCGATGAACCATAAATACATTGATTACTCATCCGCATTTTTGTCTTAATAATTACTTCATGGAATAAACGTAGGACAGTCGATAAGTTTATTCATGAAAGCTACGTGACTTACAGCGCTTAAGCACGCTTGTTCTTACTCCTATATCTGTAAAAAAAAAGGTAATAGTTCAGCCCGCAGCTTTCTTATATTGATTATCTGCATGAAAGCGATGCAAAGGTTCGATTAATTGATGGAACGAAGTTTTTTTTTTTTTTTTGAAGCGAATGTGTGTTTACTTATCCCGTCAGTCTAGCACAACGCCACAAAAATGCTCAAGATAATGTAAAAAAAAGATGACGTTCTCCTTGAAATTATATGACATATGTGAGGCACGCCATCTGGATTAATTCTGACAATCTGGCATCTTTTAAGCGAACCCAAATGTAAGAGCACGGGTGAGGCAATTAGGAAACTCCAACCAAAAATTGTATTACAGCACTTGAGTCAGCGCTTGGTCTGGCTTCGAAACGTCGGTTTTCTGAATACAATTTCCAGTTGGAGTTTTCTAATTGCCTCATTTCTATCTCGAACAAGCAGACTTCTGCCAAATGTTCACCTTTGATAAGAACACGGGTCTATCTGTATAGATGTCACCCAATGGTAAAATTGCAC